TGTTTAAAAAACCTACATTTTTTAAATTTTTTGTCTGTGTGTTTGTAGGCACTAGCTAATCTCTGGTATGGCTGGGCCAATTTTGCAAGACTTTTATTGGCAGGTAGCTGATGTTCTAAAGAGTAACTTAGTCTACTTTCATTTTAGAAAATTGAAACATAAGAAAGATATGTTCTAAAATTCATATTCTATGCGGGTGAAGTCATGGACAACAGCTAGTAAATAAATATTATCGTTATAGAATGTGTCAACTGTCAAAGTATGTGTCAATTAAAAGATTTTCTTTTTTTTATTCCCTGTTTTACTTTTAGTTAATTTTAAGTTGTTCTTTCAGATACTAACAACTCAAAGCTAACGCAAAGTTAAGTTCGACGGTTCATTAATCTACCGTTACCACCCGATACTGGCAGTATAGTCGACAACTTCGTTTTGGAGTATAGGTTGCCAAAGAGAAAAAGAAATAAAAAGATTTTAAGTTCTATATAATGTTATTTAAAAATCTTATGTTATTAACAGAACCTTAAACACAACACACTGGCTCTGGTGAAATAGGCTATCATCATCATCATATCTAATATAAGCCCCAAGACATCCACTGTCAAACACAAGCCTCCACAAAGGACTTCCAGATCCAGTTTGGAAGCAGCAGTAAAATTAATCTAGGTAATACCTACAGACTGACATTTATTACCTATACTTATAATGCTAGAATAGCAGGCTGTTGTATGTATTCAGATAATGACTCATCATCTGATCATTTATTGGCACGTGTAACATTTCGGACGATTTCGGCATTGGTTGAGTATCTACCGCCAAGTAGGGCAAAGTCTAACAGTCTAGCATTCTAGCACACCTATGTTTGAAATCAAACTACCTAAATCAATGACTTACCTAAAGAAAAGACTTTACTATACACATGGTCCTTCTAGTATGTCGACGTCGGTGTTTTACCAATTACATCATTGCTTCTCACACGCTTTCTGTCGGCATCACAAAAAGAAATTTCGACATAGCAACCGAGTATCTTCCTAACAACATGTCACTTATCGTAAAGGATAAGGATCATAGTCGAATCATTTATTAAAATCACGTCCAAATAGATCTTTCGAATTGACGACAATTCATCACTTCCTTTAGGCACCCGTAGGTACTATAAATCTTACGACATAGACCCTTCTGACCTTGGGCCAATATACGCACGGTCGTTAATAAATAAAAAATACATATTACAATTACAATAAATTCAATAAAGGTGGAGATGGAAGATAAAGTCAAACTCAAAGCCGTAAAATGACTGTAAATAGTTAATTTGACGGAAATTGTGCGTAGATTGAATTTATAATAATAAATTACAATATAAAACTATGAGGAAGGTACGCCTGTCTTTTCTGCAGAGCAGTCAGAAAACTCATATAAAATCAGATCCTAATACTTTTCCATAGGAGAGGCCTGCGGGCTACTGACCGGAGGAGTCTGACGTCCGCTATATAGGCGGGAGTAGGCGTTAGCGTTGTTCGTAGCGTTGTTTGTTCCACGCGCGCTACTCGAAGAAGGGAAGCAGCCTCCTAGGTCCGCTAAGGTGGCGAGACCTGCCGCAAACATAGCGATAGGTCGAGGCCTGCCGGGTGTAGTGATTCCATAAGGGCAACTTGGGTCATAGTCATAGGCAGTGAAGGAACACCGCGGTGGTTTAAGAGGCCGGCACGCCCCCCCCCCCCCCCGTCGTCCCCACCGACGTATGAAGTCCATGAGGATTTCCATCGCGAAAGAAAAAAAAGATCCTAATACTTTGTCAGAACTGGTCAGTAATTATCCTGGCAATTCGACAGAACCCTTCGGAGTAGCGTCCAAAATTGCAACCACTTGTCTAACCCTTCGTACCATAACTACTTTTAGAATTATCTGGTTTATGATTACCGTAGGTACTTACTTACTTATGCTTAGGGTCACGGGCACATTGAGTGGGGCGACCACCCAGTGACCTCAGGGAAGACGACGGCACAGATAGCTCAAGGGAGATTCAGATTAATCTAGGAATGCTCCGTGGGGGCTTGGGGACTGGTCTATTGAGATTGGACCCAGCGTCCCATTCAGGTGCTGATAGTGGCCTCTGGGGTGGTTTTAGTGAAGTAAGAATTACAACTTCCCTGGTCTTTTTCCCGAAAAATATATAGGCGCATTTTAAACCTTTATAAAATAGACGTGCTTACTATACATAAAATGACTTCGACCTTTTTTTGTGATTTGCCTGTAATTTATTTTACGTGCTTTTGTTCTCCAGTACCGCAATGTGCCATCAATCGGAATCATCTTCTGATTTATTCAAAATAGGACTCAGACCTTAGTATGAGTTTGTTGTATGTTTATAGTATAATAATCGAAATAGCAGCTGTAGCCAAATGCCACTTAGCGCTTGTCTACATGAAAAATAGAAAACCAAATTGATGTAAACTTTGACACTTGTCAGTGTCATCCCCATACATTTAGTTTTCTACTCTCTCTGTAGACAGGCGCTAAAGTGGCATTTGGCTAAAGGCACAGGACCGCGTGGGGCCATCTCGCTCGTTGGGCCAATCACAACGCCGAACGCGTACTCGTTTCGTAAAGTCAAGCGGCTTTGCGGCATCTTTATTATGTAGTAATCTTTGTATGAGGCCAGTTAACAAGCACAGTGACTATTTGAAAAAAATCTAGTTAATGCCCTAGGTTTCGCGTACAATAAAGGTATCTATTAAAGATTTCTAAGTTAGGCGTAAAATTGAAAATGTTCTAATTTGTGGTTGTTGCACCATCTAGCGACAAAATGGCAGTTGAGATCATCATCCATCCACCTTAAACTAGTATCCAGCAATTGTCTAATGTAAAGAGAAACAAAATTAAATTATAGTCGAGATTATCTATTTTGTTTTATTTGTATGTATTTGCGCTGAAAACTCTAATATAATCGTTGCGTGCACGTAGCAATGCATAAGCATAGATTAGTAAGTAGTAAGAAAGCAAAGTAGGTATTAGATATTACTAAATAATTAATTAAAACAGGCGGATCGTTGGGTAATTGAAAAACTCTCATTATTCTTTTAAAATATTTTATTTTAAATACAATATTACAAACTAGATAAACAAAACTTTGACACAAAAATCAAGGTAATCCTAGGTTGATTTTATGAAAATAAAGTTCAGAAATATTGTAAACCTGTTTAAAAAATATTTCCCTGGAGCAACCAAGTTTTCAGGTATAAGTTTCAGGAAGATAATAATATTTTATGTTTAGTGTGCGTCTTGGTACTGAATTTAAATCTATTTCATGAGGTAGAATTAGTTTAATATTGGGAAGTTAATCGTCTTCATTATACAATACAATACATAATTTCATAAAATGCTTATATAAAAAATTATACTGTATTCTTAACTATAAATTGGCGACATTACAAAAAAAACAACATATTATTTATGGCATAATTAATTCTTAAATTAAACGTAATTGTAAATGAACTAATTTCATTAAATTGGCCAATTTTAAAACATATTTCAATTGGTCAAAAGCTTACCATAATATATAAAAACAGTATATAAAAAAATCAACTTAAAGAAAATTCATCACTTCCAATTAGTATTTTCATTAAAAAGTTCAATTAAGAGCATATTTTCTTTAACTACATATATACTTTATTATACTTAAAATTATTTAATTACAAATCAACACGAGAAAAATAACATTCTAGAAAGCTTCACATGAACTTACACATTATAAATTAATGCAATTTCTCAATAACAAACCAGATGTGTTGTACTCACATATTAAACGTAAAGGTACTGTTAAGACATCCTAATTTCAAATACGAAAGCATTTTTCAATGGAGCCTATCATATTTTTGCTTACAAGATAGCGCTAGTGTACCTCTCGTTCTTCGTCCAATAAGGTATTAGATCAGGGGCGTAGCTAGCGCCATATCTGCCGTATCAATTATACGGGGCCCCCAGACTACGGGGGCCCCCAACGTGTGTAAGCAAAAATATAAAAACTTCTCAATTTATATTTTATTTCAGTGATCACAAAATGCATGCGTTCAAAGATTGACAGAAACCATGAAATAAGGAAATCTATTTCATAGCGGAAAGTTTGGAAAAACTAAAGTAATCATTGTCCGATATTTGGGCAGAGGCCTGGCTCGACCTGGAAATTCTCTGGTTTTAACACAAATGATTAGTACTTTATATTATAAAAAAACTCTTCTGAGAAATTTTAAGTATATTTCATAAGGGCCCCCAAAAAAAATTTTTATACGGGGCCCCGCCAAGATACGCTACGCCACTGTATTAGCTAGTGGCGCTACCATTGGACTTTCAATATTTAACAGCTGCTGCGATTCGACACAAAACCCCCATCCTATATTTGCAGCATCTAGGTAGTACAAAAAGTTAGCCCCTATTGAGCATTTGTCACTTATTAGCATGTGTGTCGTAATGGTGATAAAAATTTGCATCCTCATTTCAGGCATGCTTGCCAATCAACAGGCGTACGTTTTCTTGAACATTTTTATACATGTTCAATAGAATACCTTTTAGCATAGTATTTTAGAACATGTGTAACAGCCTTAAATACAGCTGTAAGTATTCATGATGTATGACCTGATTGGAGACGAAAGGGAGTGGCAAAAAATATGTACATACCTAATTACTTAATTTATCAAACAGATAGTGAAAAGATATATGACACATGTATTTCTTGTTCGACCAAAATACATAAAATAACGATTAAGAAAAGAAGAATTAATTTTAGGAAATTAAGAGCACACGATGTGTCTTATTACGTCACTACCTTGTAAACACAAAAGTGACGTCACACTTCAAACTTTCAAATTAACGTATTAAAGAATGTTGCTTGCTAGAAAAAATACACTTAGCTATCAGATGGAATGTAAAAAATAAACATTTTGTATTTCCCATTGATTTATTATGTAGGTATAATTTAATTAATATGTCTATGTATTTGGATATATTTACTTGGCCCTACGTGCTCTATATAATAAAGCGAGGTAGGCGAGGAATCGGAACCCTATGAACAGGAGTACCATGTTGATCACGTCCATTGAGAAGTCGTCCTGCGAAGAAAAAGTTAATGAGTTTATTGCATTTATTAAAATTATAGGGTCTGGTTTCTATACAATTATATATATATAGTACTAGCAAACCCGGCGAACGCTGTTTCGCCACCAGATGGCTATTTCTGAATTTTCTTTGCTATAAACCTCACGGAGCAAGAGACCTTTCCAACGAATGCAAAACTGTGGATATCGGTTCGTGCGTTCTGGAGTCATAGCGTCAGGAAGGAAAACCCGACTTATTTTTATATAGTAGATTAAGATTAATTTGAGTAAGGTTTGGTTGATTGTTTTTTATAATTAATAGAAAAAATATTGCTAAAACCAGTTGACCAAACATTCTCTCTCTTTCTCTCGCCTTGTGGTAGGTAGGCGATAATGTGGCTATTAATGGACCACGCCTACTAAAACCTAAGCAACCTTTTTACTAGAAACTTGAAGACATTGAACCAACATTTTAATAAAAATGATTTTATTTCTCTTTAGGTTAAATTAATATTATGATTAGTTGATATGATATGATAAGACGACCATCAACATGAGACTAGTAAGTACCCCATTTGTTATTTATTGCTAGCATCGAAACCAGCGTCATCTACAACGTTACCATCTGCAAAAACATCATTGCTAAAAACATACCTAGAAAAAACATATATGAAACTTCTAAACTATAAAAAAATAATATCCTTACCTCAGAGAAACTAAGAGTATCCAACACGACCTGTCCAGAAGCAGGACAAGTGAAGTTCTCCCTGGTGCAGGCGATGGTCTCCACGCCGGACCACTGGTTCACCAACAGAGCCTCGTTGCCGTAGTGGAACCAAGATAGGTACGATATCCAGCCGAGGTAAGGTGGTACAGAACTAACGTGAGAAAACAAAAATTAATTTCGGATCAAATAATGTCTATTATATTTTATGGAATAGGACGGCTAACGAATCACCTGATGGTAAGCAATCAACAACACCAGAGGTTTTACAAATGTTGTTGTACGATAAACACCCTGATGACCAAATAAAAGACAAGACTTGAAATCAATACAGATATAAATAGGAAAATTCTGTTCACAAATTGTATAGTTTTCTGATAATTATAGGAAATGATGAAATAAAAACTAAAACTCATTCATAACTGAATAACATTTAAAATTTACTCCTTACATCAAAAGTTACTTACCCAGTGTTCAAGAAGAAACCTCCGAACAGCATGAAGGGAATGATGATGGGAGGTCCGACTGATGCAGCCATGCTGACACTGTTGCTGGCACACGATATTAGATAACCTGGGGAACAAAATCAGACGTTAACACAATACAGGTATAGCTGAAGTTAGCTAAAGCGCCCCTAGTAAGCTTTAGCTTTATTGATCGAGATAAAGAACTCCTGTGGACGCCTTCTACCTCATTTTTTTTATATTTGATGACCACTATCTCGCCTGGTGGTAACCGATGATGCGGTCTACGATGGAGCACGTCGTCCCATAAGCAACCTATTCACTCGGGCCTTGAAGACTCCCAGGTTATACCCTTCAGGAAATACAGACTCTGGCAAAGAATTCCACTCCTTAGCTGTACGCACAAGTAAGCTTGAAGCGAGGCGCTTCGTGCGTGTGGGCGGAACATCTACCATGAATCGGTGACGCTTCGCCGATTGTCTTGTGGTACGATGATGGAAAGGACTAGGGGGAATCAAGTTGTGCAATTCCCCCGCACACTCACCGAAATGTATCCGGTAGAAAACCGAAAGGCTTGCAACCTTACGCCTGTGTCATCGTCGATGCCTCATTTAAGAGCTATAGGATAAGTCAAAGTAGTTAAGTTAAACGAGAAATGTTAGGCTTTACGTAGATTTGAAAGAAATGCTTTAAGACACTTGACCTGTGTTCAACATGTTAAAATATTTACAAAGCCTTGGTCTGAACATAATCAGTTGGCGAAACGATTCCCAAAACTCGAATTGATTCTCAATTAAATATTCAAAAATTTAAAAGCATGGAAAGTTTCGGTTCATACGACGAACGATAATTTCATTCAATAAAACAATTAAGTATCAAATTTTGTTAAGAAACAAGTTTCAACAAAGTTTCGTCACAGCCCATCATTAACATCTAACACGTGAGTTAACTTAATGAAGAATTTAACTGCTAATAAAACCTTACTGCTAATAAAGACTTTCAAAGAACTCTAATGAAGTTGTTTACAGATAAACTTCGGGACAAATGAACCAAACAAAAGCTTATGAAAAACATTATGAACTATGTATATTACAAGTTCTTAATAGTCGTTGTAAAAAAGCCCTTTAAAAAAAATAACATAACATCACGCCTTTTATACCCGAAGGTATAGGCAGAGATGCACATTATGCCACTAAGCCATTATGCCACCCACTTTTCACGATTAACGTTATGAGTTACATGGTAATAGGGGGTGAGCCTATTGCCATATACCGGGCACAATTTCAAAATCCGTGCTACTACTGAGAAATTTTTTAAAACCCATGCAGAGCTTTGCCCAACCCCGAATCGAACCCGAGACCCCTTGCCCGGCAGTCACACTAGCGACCGAGTGGCCAACGAGGCTTTAAAAAATATCAGTTACAAAACTCAATATCATTAAGGGCCCATCTCTAAGAACTTCACTTTGCACACACAGTTTATTTAAATATCAAGAGTATCCGCGTTGACTGGCCGTATCTACCTACAAGCTTGACCTATAGATGCAGCTGTTACTAAGCTGAACACAAAGCTAAACATATTCATAAATGCAATACGATTTCCTGTTGGCATATCAAATGATACGTTAAAAGGGCCTTCACCTCATTCCAACGTGTTTATGTAAATAATAGAAAACCGCCTAACTGTGCTGTGTGGTATGAGACACTTTATATTGCACGATACTTGAGATGCTGCGGTCTGGAGAAATTCATATCCGATTATATTTCATATCGATCGGGGATATATTGTGTGAAAACTATTAGATATTTGTGGTACGTTGTGTAGTTCATGATTGTATGTGGTTTATGGATTTCGTTTCCACGTCGAGCATCGTTTAACATTTTGTAGCCCATTGAATATAATACTGCCTCGTTAGCCGAGTGGTCGCAAGTGCGACTGCCGGGCAAGGGGTCTCGGGTTCGATGCCCGGGTCGGGCAAAGTATTACTGGGTTATTAAAAAAAATCTCAGTAGTAGCACGGAGTCTGGAATTGTGCCCGGCATATGGCAATAGGCTCACCCCCTATTACATTTGACTCATAACATAAATAGTGAAAAGTGGGTGTTACATTGTACCTACAGTGGCATAACGTGCACCTCTGCCTATATCTTCGGGAATAAAAAACGTGATGTTATGTTATTTTTTTAAAGGGCTCTTTTTACAACGACTATTAAGAACTTGTAATATAGTTCATAATGTTTTTCATAAGAATATAACAATCTTACTAAATTACGTTCCCAGCATGACTAAGGTCACATTTCTGATGTATTTTTAATGACACAGCTTACCGTTAGTAGCAAGATAAAAATTTGATTAAAGATATCCCTTTCCCTCCAACAAAGAAAGACGAGCTCGTGCCCAACGGTTCACACGGTAGTAACCACAAAATCAATGAAGCATTCAACTAAAACATATACATAAAATACCGCCAAAGTTTAGGAAATGTGATAGTATCTATCTCTATTACAAATCCCTTTCTCTTAACAATACTTAGTACTACAATTACATATTTAAATAACACAACATCACTACTTTCCAATATAATGGTGGTTAGATGTGTGTAAGAAGATAGTATACTACTATCACGGCCATCAGTGGGCATAATTCTAGACTCTGTATTAGATTACTGAACTGACAAAATCAAAACCCCGAGAGCCAACAGAATCAAACATTGTTTAATCCGGGAATCAAACCCAAACCTCCTTCTCATTAGTCTCACTTGCAACTCAACCAAAAAGACATAAAAAGCATTGTTCAAATAAAACAAAAGTAACCTATTCATCTTCTCCCACAATTAATCATGACCCAAATCTGTGACAAGCCCAAAACGAAACAAGCGCCATCTGCCCAATCATATGGCACCTAAACAACTTGAAAAGCCAAGTTCAAATAAATAAGGTTCAAGATAAAACTACATTCTTGAGGAAGACTTCCAGTCTGTAATCGTTGCGCAATGTCAAACTCGTTTTGGATCTTTGAAAACGTTGTGGCCATGTGGTAAGTTTTGTAGATAGAAACTTTATGATTGGCAGATTGTTAATAGGTAAGTCGCCTATGAAGATGGAAGTTTTTGAGATTTTTTGCTATAGACTTGGATTTTATGTTCTAAATCAGTCTAAATTTAATAGCAGTGAATCTAAACTTTGTAATTTCAGTTATTAAACTGGTCGATTACGACCAGATGCCCAATGATTTTTGGTGGAATTCAGAATTATTCAAGATTCCAGTGATGTTTCTTTTTATCAAGATGCTACGAATAAAGTACTTTAAAATACCTTTGTTACTCTAGTCATGGTCATAAACTAACTACCACATTCAACATTAAAAAGCATACATTAATCAAAACGTCGAAATTCGGTAATATGGTTTGTTTATTAATAAACAAATAATGATGAAATGGCCATTAAAGATGACTTTCATTGGGTCCTATTAACGGTAACGGTAGCGTATATCAACATGATTAAAAAACTATTAGAGCCTACAAATGTTACTTTGATAAAATTGTTGCACAATATTATACAAATAGTTCTTTAGTTTGTATTTTAACCTTGTGCCTACTATAATTGGACAACAGTTTTTAGAGTCCAGTTTTTTCTTGAGTCATGTGAACAAAATGTTATTATTTTTGACGCTGAATTATTTCTTACGGGAAGAATGAACTTTATTGTGTAAGATCATCGAGTAATTCTTACATTATGATGTCGTATAAGGTCGTTAACAGAACTGGGTCTTACAACGAGTAGTACTATAAGTTTCTGTGTTGTGCAATATCGTTTGGAAAAATTCAATTCCAGTTAACATATTGCCAAAAATAAATCGATGATCATTTAACCCTTCGAGTACCGTGATTATAGACACAATTAAAGAACAATAGGTTGCTGTCACCGGTGTCAGAAGTTAGACATTTTCTCGCGTAAACCTAAAATATGATCAAAGATGAAAATACTGATTATCTACCGGATGTCCTAAAATATTTTTAGTAAAGTCCTACTTGTTTAATTTTTAACTAAGTATGCCAATATGACATCAAAAACTTGACACATGATATACGTAAGCTGTAGTTTAAAAAAGCCTTGCTCAGGATTCACATCATCTGTGGTGAAAAGCGTATAAAAAAGATAATAATATCTCGGTCTGTACTGAGACATGATAGATACATGCTGCTTCATCTTATAATGATAGGTAAGGTGGAAAGGGAAAAGAAGCGCTGGGTGGAGGAAAATGTCATGACTGCCCAATATTCGTGAGTGGACCGGTATCAGCTCCATCAGCGGCCAATGACAAGGAACAATTCAAAAAGGCTGCCAACCTTCAATAATGAAGTGGCACCATAAAAAGAAGAATAAAAAAAAACTTACCAAACGAAGTAGCAACATTGGTGATGAGGGCAGCTAGTCCAGAAGCGATAAAGAACCGCTTCGGTTCCGGGTTGAGTCCTATCATGTAATACGCTATGGTGGTGAACACTAGAGGTATCGTCGCAAACACGGGCGCTTCTGCCAACGTTTTAGACAAGAAGTACACGTCTGCTCGATACATCCCTGAATGGTGTTCTCGTATAAATATTGGTAGCTCAGAACAGAATACCTGCGGACAAAAGATATGGGATTTAATTAAAACATCAGTAGTATCCTGGCTCACTAGGATGCTACTTTATATGCATTGAGTGATAAGTCAGTTAATGCATGTGAAGTCGTGGAGAATTCAAGGATTTTTGTAAGAATTTAAGTGACTTGCGATGGCAAATCATGTGAACTTACAGGAATTACCTTGCCAAAGTCGAAGCATTTATTTTAAGTAAACGATATTGCAGGTATTTATGAAACACCAAAAAAGAGTCTAGTCCATCAGTCTGTCGGTCAGTTAATTTAGGTGCTTGAAATAAGCACAAATATGAAACTAAAACATTCTATTTCGTTCAATAAAAGTGTAGGACTAGGAAAATCTACAACACGAAGGGAGAATTTCATAGAAACAACAAAAGATGTAACTCACGTTAATAACAGCGAAGATGTTCTGGAAGGTCATGTTGGTGAGGAACATGAAGATGGCTCCGTTGATGTTCATAACGCCGTCCTGGTCCAAGTGCTGCCCGAAGTAGATAACGCCAATCAGGATAGACACCATCTAAAACAATATAAGGATGATGTATTAAGAAAATATAGTTTTGTTAGATATTGTTTGTTAGTAATGTTATTATAACAACTGCATTAGATAACCATCTACTAGATAACTATCTTCTTACGAACACATCTTCAAAACAGTTAATAGGCGCTCTTGGCAAACCCTTAGTTATTAGCTATAAAAATGTTAATCAGAAATCAGAAATAATTTATTTGCCAAAAATGTAGGTAACAAATATGTTGTTTTATAGCTTATGGAGAATCCCAGTACATTTTGCCTTACGGTATGCAAAATTGTTGAATTAGTTAAATAAAATTATTAAATACGATTTTTAAATTTAAACAAAACAAAATTAATTAATAACAATCAAATCATTCATAATTAGGTACAACACAAATTATACAAAATACTTATAATAGAACATCAGAAATTTAGATTAACAGAAACTTTCATCATTAAAAAAATCCTTAAGCGAGTAGTAACACTTGTCTAATAATAACTTTGTCAGCTGCTTTTAAAATACTGTAATGTACTACACAAACATTTTCAATCTTCTTGACCCTTAGAGTCTCGGCCATATCTGAAGCAGCACTAACAAATATGAGCATACGTAATAGAATTACAGGAATCCTAAAAATCTTTCTCTGAATCCTGTAACTATAACTCGTGGCATATCGAAGGTTACTGCAAGCATTAGGTTGTGAAACTAAATGCGGTTCTTATTAAAGACATGTATAAAAATTAAAAGAAAGTTAATTAAGAGTATACTTACAATAGTCTGTAGGAAGCGGACTTTGATGAGCATGGGTTCCTTGGTGACAGAGAGCCAGGACCGCCACAGCACGGCGCGGAACTGAGCGCACCACGACGCCTTGTACGGAGACCTACGAGCGCGGATAGCTGTGGCTTCTGACCACGCTGGATCCACCCAACCAGAGGAGATTTTGCGCTAAGGGAGATAATAGTTATTAGTAACGAGAAAATTTTTGGTTCTATTTTCTCTTAAAACCAAATCATCATCGCCAGCTCTAAGTGGCCACTGCTGACCAAAGGCCTTTTCTCACACGGAGAAGGTTTGAGCATATCACCACGCCTGCTCAATGCGGATGATAATGCTAATGCATTCTTTGGGTGGATTATATTTTAAATTGAACATACTAAATACCCACCTCATTGGTCCAAAACTTGTAAGAGCAATTACCAAATAAAGTGTTTTGAGTTAAATTGCAGGATTAGATAAAATTTTCGATTTAACATAACATAACATCACGTGTTTTATCCCCAAAGGGGTAGGCAGAGGTGCACATTATGCCACTGTACAATGTAACACCCACTTTTCACTATTTATGTTATGAGTCCCATGTAATAGGGGGTGAGCCTATTGCCATATACCCGGCACAATGCCAGACTCCGTGCTACTACTGAGTTTTTTTTAATCCCAGTAGTACTTTGCCCGACCCGGGAATCAAACCCGAGACTCCTTGCCCGCGCAGTCGCACTTGCGACCACTCGACCAACGAGGCAGTCTATTAATTTCATAAGACTCCTCTAATACAAATTGGTCAAATAAACTAAAATATTGTTGTCTGATACGAACCTCAAAATAGAGTGCATTTTCAGCTTCAGCAGCGATCTTGCATCCAACCTCTGAACGAGCGAATGCTGTGCAGACAGTATCGATGGTGGTGCGAGTGGTTTCCTCCCTGCCTGGTACTCCAGCCAGGAGTTGGATGAAGTGGTCTGCTGGGTTGTAGTTCGGTGGACACGCTGCTCCTAATCTGTGAGCAAATGTTTTTTTACAAAGATATTTAAGACCTATGAAATGTATTGTCGATGTCAGATGACGTCAAGGACAGGATTGTATGCGCATAGGAGACGATCGCATAGCATGGACTGTGTATAATAGTAAATGTTATGAAAGGTTTTTTTAAGATTCTAACGGTAGTGGTGGACTGTGAAACGATATAGTAGTGGTTGAGTTAAGAGAGGCAAGAGAAAGTAATAAAAAGCTAAATAAATAGTTTAACTATTTCTAGTAGCTAGTACTAGTTTAATTAACAGAGGGTTCACCGTAGTAGGTGAATACTAACAGCCGTTTAATGATACTGACCGACTTGGGAATCAAACTGCGATACAGGAAGGCTAAGTAACGAGGCTTGTTATGTACGTACGAACATAGTGTACAGATTTCGATGTTTGATCCATTTTCATAGAGAACAGATGTCGCATGATAATGGAAACTTCATTATCATTCACATAATAATTAGGACTTCCGTAGAAACATTCGTATGGTAATTTGGACTGCACGGTTGGCGCGGTGGTTGGGCAACTGACTGCCGCGCAACGTGTCGCGGGTTCGATTCCCGCACGGATTGTGTGATCTACAGATTGTTGTTCCGGGTCTGGGTATCATGTGTATGTGAACTTGTATGTTTGTAAACGCACCCACGACATAGGAGAAAATCCTAGTGTGGGGGGCAACGTTTTTTTAAATAAAAAATAAATCAGCATAGAAACAACAAAAACACGTAAAACGTGACAAAACTCATAGGTAGTGGAGGGAAGGTTGTGTCAGTTTAAGGGTATAAGCCAATTTATTGTGTGTACGTAAGTATTGGGTTACGTTCGTGACTTAAGAGGTCGCACTTTAGCGACATGGCGACCACAGGTCACATGAGAATCTTGCGGTTTTGGAACAGGAAGTAAGTGATTTTTACAACAAATAGGATAGTTGCCAGGGAATGAAAATTTAAAATCTAATTAGTCCGTCAGTTAGATAATGAAAAAATATTAGACACGTCTTTTTTTATTTTCCCGTATAATGTTAAAGTTTTACTTAGATAAAATGGAGTTAAGTTTAGAAGTGGGAGGTCGTTACGTCACTAAGTGCCACAAAATGTAGCGCATTGTGACGTCACTTAGTATTTAATTTTGTGAGAAAAGAAAAAATATGTGTCTAATGTTTTAAATTAATCTACCAGACGGACATTAAAATAAAATTCAGGTTACTACCCTATTGATATTAATTAGGTACCTAAGAAGGAAGAGGTTAAAACAAAAGGTAAGTTTCAAGTAAGGAAGGTAAGGAAAGAACCCTGTGTGCGTTAATTACGTAATTAACGTAAACTAATAACCATCATCTTGTTTTACGAAAAGTTCAATAACAGTAACTACATTAAACAAATAAAATAAAATGGCATTGTAAAGATACCCTAAAAAGAGAGATCCAAAAGCTACTTACTCTTTGAAGAAGTCGTTGGCTTGGTCTGGAGAGCCGAGGAAAGCGACCTTGCCATCAGCCATGATCAGCAGTTTGTCAAACATGGCGTATAACTCTGATGACGGCTGGTGAATGGTGCATACCACTGTCTTACCCTTCTGGGCTAGACCTTTGAGTACCTGGAGACGAAGGGTTTCAGTTAAAATTTGTTTCTCTTTATGCTAATTTGGCTTAATTACGTTACGAATTGGTAACGAAGATGAAATTGCTCCATCTTATTATGGCATGTCAAAAAAGGGCGGCAAGCGGCAAGCTAGCAGACGAGTTACCCGATGATAAGCAATCGGAGTCACCCATGGACACCCGTAATACCAGAGAATTTACAAGTCCGTTACTGACCTTTTGGGGATTGGAAATGAGGGGGAATAACTGGGCCATGTATAATACTGAATCTGTTTTATAAATGATCCTCTAGTATGGCTTGAAACTAGTCGAGTTCCTCGTCAAATAATTACGCGAGTAAGTCGAAAACATAATAATTTATACTGAATCTGGTTAAGACTTAAAACCGAAACCAAAGCTTACCTTACTAATATTATAAATAGGAAAGTGAGTTTGTTTGTTTGTTCCACTTTCACGCCATAACTACTAAACCGATTGCTTTGAATTTTTGCAGACATAAAGTTAGAAGTCCGGATTAAATAATAGGGTACTTTTTAACCCGGAAAAATTTGATATTCCCGAGGAAAAACAAAAGTATTGGTATAGATGGCGCTGTGTGTATAAATGTCACATAGGCTACTTTTTATCCTTTTGTGATGCGAGCGAAGCCGCGGGTAAAAGCTAGTTGAGAATAAAGAAAGATCAAGAGATAGATGTAGTACATTTCCCACGTGAAATGTATCATGGACGTTTAAATTTTTTTCTTTCTATCAAAATAGAGGTAGTTCTGGATCTTACCTGCAACACATTCTGTGCCATAAAAGAGTCGAGTCCTGAAGTTGGTTCGTCGCAGAACATGAGAGGTGGATCAGTAAGGACCTCGCTGGCGAAGGACAGCCTCTTCATCTCACCTCCTGATATACCCTTCAACCTTCCCGGGATACCGATCACCGTATTCTGGCATTTTGTTAACGCCAACTGTGGACAAAATAATTAAGTTAATGACTGGAAAATTGAATATCAGTATTATTAAGATTACCTTGGTTTATCCTGGCCCTTGATTAAAACATATTGTGCCGTCCATAAATAATTTGGGATAAAGCCAATAAGAATAATCCTTACTAATAATATTATAAATCGGAAAGTGAGTTTGTTTGTTCCGATTTCACGCCGTAACTACTAAACCGATTGCTTTGAATTTTTGCAGACGTAAAGTTAGAAGTCTGGATTAAATAATAGGGTACTTTTTATCCCGAAAAAAATTGATATTCCCGAGGGAAAACAAAAGTATTGGTATAGATGGCGGTGTATATATTGGTATATGTCACATGGGCTACTTTTTATTCTTTTGTGACGCGAGCGAAGCCGCGGGTAAAAGCTAGTTTTAAATAATGTAGAAATCTAGACAAAAAGCTTCCAACCCGAATTTCAAGGACTTTATCAAATGAACACGTATGACTAGAAATAATGTAGCCGGATCTTAATAAAACTATACCAAGGAGGTCGTCAAAAAAGTGATCTTTGCATCGTATTAAATACAGGTGCAAATTTATATGTAGATTGTGATATTTTAGTATTTATTTTTTGTACCTACTACAATCAGTTTGTTTTGCTTATGTAAATAGGAATTCCGTACATAATAAAAATATTTTAAGTACTTAGATCAGGAAATATTTTTAAATGTGCCACCAGGTGCTAATGTTGCTATATAAAACTATTTCGTTAGTTGATCTATGAATCCGAACAGAAATCCAGATTCTTCAGAATTGAAATAGTAAGTCAACATATTGTACAATTTGAAACAATGTACCCAAGAATTGTATTGTGAACCTGATTGAAAAAGAGTAAGCTATGGAGTTTCTTGCCCGGTCATCTCCATAGGAATCTACACCTTGGAACGAGCAAATAGCTTAACAACTGACCGACTGATTGAGACTTTTAATATTAACTATGTTTTTTTTTTGTTTTGATGTTTAAAACTACCTTCCTGTTATTTATTATTATTTAATAAAAACATTGCCTCTTTGTTCTAATTGAAATAGATGATTTTGACTTTGACTTTATCTATCGCATGAGGATATATCAAACCCAAGATCTCAGTCCTACACATTTGAGTCAGGAGTTGGCGCCTACACTCTAAGGCTAATTACCTTTTTAATCCCACTTATAAAGATATGAAACGAGTAAACGACCTACACTTCGCAGGAGTTTTGATAACTCTTATTCAAATAAATGATAATATTTTATATGTCAGTAGCAAACATCAATAAAAATGTATGAAACAAAAGTTTCTACCCAAATTAATGCATACCTACATAGATACTATTTTTTTAAGGAGGGAAAATCAATAAAAACTAATTATAACTACGTAAATACTTGCCAAATCAATATTTAAGTCTTTATATCCACCTTCTTATCCTATAATCTTGGATCACAGTTTTAGGGTTTCTAGATTAATTAATAAAGTAGGTTCTTATGAAACATCTTACCTCAGTAATTACTTCTTGTACACGACGCATGCGTTGAGCGTACGGTATATGTCGGTCCATTCTCACCATAGCCTATGGAAGGAAAGAAAATAATTAAAAATAAAAATTAGAGTACACTAAAAGGTTGTAATATCACATTAATCTAGAACTAGTCTGATTTCCGGAGCTGCAAGGTTATTTTTAAGGGGGGGAAATCACCTAATGACTGCTCCCGCTTGGATGAGGCGGGAGGGAGTAGCAGACTCTTACTGACTAAAAAACATCCCGTTGCTACTCTTGCCCTTCGAGAAAGAGCCCCGGTAACCCATTAAATCCTCCGCGGCTTCGTATTGGACCCCATCCGTGGTGATCTAATGGTTCTTTGAGGAGCGCGCGGAACGCGACGCGCCGTACGCTTGGGTCTGGTTCTGGTAGGGCGGCGAGCCACCCATGCTCGCCGTCCGCAAGCCCCTGCTTACGATGGTCGCAGATCGTGGAGCTGCAGGGTTACAGGGACGTCAGTTAAGAGTCTGACACTCCCTCTCGCCTCACCCAAGGCGGGCACCCAAGGAAAAAACCATTGGATGACTTTCCCGCTCAAAAAATATGTAGGTAGTCTAACTTATTAGTCTATGTTCAGTTCATGAAGCTCAAGTTATTTTCCATCTGACAATCCATTTTAAGAATATAAAAGTTCCTCTTGATTACTTTCTCAAAGCGAAAGAACTAAACAGAAAAAAGGTATATCCTAGCAACAAAATCATGTTATACAGAAAACAATTGTTTCCATAAACGGCTCAAACTACAAAATACGATCACATTTGTCATGGGTTTAAAAGATTTGTAGCCATAAAGTAATTATTTCACTATCATATAGTTTTTTGTGTTGGTGTCAAGGCCTTACTGGTTTTGGAATGACTGATTTTATTTTTAGGCAAACCGGTTCCATTATGTTACCTATTAAAATTTTAGAATACCAGTATGTAGGACGCACGCAAGACGTTGCTTCTCGACTGTCGTTTGTCTGTGTATCCGCTCGAAGTTTATAAACTGCTTGATGAGTTTTGATAAGACTTGTTACTGTACCTCTATATTTTCTAAGAAACCCTTAACATGTGTTTCGTTTAAACTGTCAAACACCGCGAGGACACCGGTGACCGCAACCTATTGTTCTTTAACTGTGTCTATAATGATGGTATTCAAAGAGTTTAAGAATTGCTTGCTCCGTTTGAACCACAAACAACAAAATTAGGTACTAAAAAGTTCTACTCCTGTAGGACATGTTAAATTCAATAAAAACCTTAGTAGAATAGTTTTAATTTTACGGCTCACTGAGTGAGAAACTAGTTATTGATCAGACTAAATCGTGTACAAGTTTTGCAGCCATAAATATCAAAGTACAAAGCAGCAAATTAGGAAGAGCTAAATGTCAACTGGATCTCAATCGAACTAGTTAGTGCGTATTTGCAATGACAAATTAATTAATCAGTAATTGACAAGCGCAATGCCCGAGGCTGCAAAGCTTTTGAAAACTTTAAACTAAAATAAAAACATTGTTTTATTTTGTGGACATAGTTTTTTTTTTTGGAATAGGAAGTTAACGAGCAGACCTATCACCTAATGGTAAACGATCAGCGCCGCCCATGGACACCAGAGGAGTCACAGGTGCGTTGCCGGCCTTATAAAAAGGAATGCGCTCTTTTCTTGAAGGTTTGAAGATTTAGATTCAGGAATTAATTTATATTTATCTGTGCATGTGAAACCGCTGATATAAAGAAGCCGCAAACCTAAATCCAGGAATTTTACGACAGCAGCAACATGCTTGCTAGAGTTCCCTCCATTCACACATTTGCCTAATTTTATTTACAATATCTGCTACTTACTTGGAATATCAAATGTTCCTTGACAGTGAGTGTGCCAATAAACAGGTCCTGTTGCTGAACGTAAGCTGACAATGCTGCTAACGCCTCAGGAGTGGCTGGCTGTCCATTCAGAGCCCTGGTACCGCTGGACAACACCCCGCTTGGAGTACGGAAGGTGAGCGTGTTGAGCAGTGTCGTTTTACCGGCACCTGACGAGCCCATGATGGCAAGGAGCTCGCCTGGATATGCCGCGCCATTGACTAAAAGAAACAATATTGCATCATAATCGGTTAAATTGTTTATGAGCTACGATACCGCAAACAGACACGTTACAATAACAATTGTCTTCATGTCTCAAGAGATAAAAGATAAGGTGAACATGACTTTAACGAGCATTTCCCTTCGGAGTCGCGGAGAACCTAACGGGTAACCGGAGCTACGGCTCGACGTGCAGGAGTAGGAACGGGGTGGTTTTTAGTCAGTAAGAGTCTGACACTCCCTCCCGCCTTACCTACGAACAGTCAATCAATGATTTTCTCCCTTTAAAAAAAACGAGTATTTCCCACTCGTTGCTACCAGTTACCGCGGTTATGATAAAAAAAATATTATAAGTATTTTGAATTCCTCGAAGTGGGCTAGAAATCGGGACGATCAGAAGCTATGTCGTTATTTTAAATCCTAGAGGCTCGTCATAAAATGTATCTGCCACTACCTCATTATTCAGGTAGCTAGAAAAAAACCACTAGAACTAGTGTGACCACTTTCGGGGCTTGTCCTTATCGCTTTTCGACTATTTATCGCTCATTAACTTCTTATCAAGTTACAACAGTTTCTATATTCCTATATCAGCACCTTTGTACTCTTATTTTATATATATGTGTGTTATCCTCTGTGCTGTTTGTGTGTACATAAATTATTAAATAAATAAATCATGTTCAAAAACTTTGGTTCTGCTGTTAGGTCCGTTAAAATCAAGCAACTCAATTTAGTTTGCTGAATTGAGAAGATTTTTTATCCGAAATTAAGATTTCAAGGTTTTTTCTAGATAACAATCTATAGATTAATACGATACCTGATACCTATGTTATGTTTGTGAGAAACTGCGTTAGAAAACAACGTGGGTAAACATTTTTGGACTAGCGACGATTGATTTGAATTAAAAGATAAATTAATTCATTATTTATTGATCCTTATCTTGTTGATATTTCAAACTAGAAGTCTATAACTAGACACGAAGCCATTTTGATATTGATGGGTCTCATGCCATTTTTAAAATGTTATTTGCGTAGTAACAAAAACAATCCACGGCGGTCTATAATGATCTTAGTAGCTTTTAGCGCAATAAAATAATCTGCGCTAAAATATATTTTATTACTTACTGATCAATATCCACTTAGCTTCTTAATAATGACAATAAGAGGACCAAAAAATATTTTGAACAGCAGTAAACTAAGCTCCACCTATTTTTTTTACCTGCTTATATTACCAGCCTACTATAAAAACTTATTTTATGTGCTAATTGACGCTGCCTTTGATCCTCAAACGCTCATATTTTAACATTTTCCAAGCCTGCTTACCATTTCTCAACAGCTGTTTTCTCTGCTGGAACATTCCACTAGCAGACGGCTTCCAGAAGTTCCAGATTCGTCTGGATCTTGACCTAGACTCTGTGGCGAAGGCGTTGATATCCGCCCAGGTGTATGTGACCTTCTCGATGCCTCCAATGGCTCCATAGTTACGATGAGCTGGTATTGCTAACGTTATTTCACCGCCACTGCCGCGAGGCGAAGATTCTGGAGTATGACCATCCTGGAGAAGAAGGAAGAAAGCGTTATTATGGGTTCAGGTGTCTGTATTTTCTGAAGGTATAACCTGGGTGTATTCAAGGCCCGAGTGAATAGGTTGCTTATGGGACGACGTGATCCATCGTAGACCGCATCATCGCTTACCACCAGGCGAGATAGTGGTCAAACGTCAAAATATTAGAAAAACATAATTGTTTACTTAATAGTAATGAAATAATCTTATAACAAACAAAAAGAGCAACTATGTATAGTAGACATAATAAAAAAAGTGGAATACTTTAAAGTTTTTACACGGAACTCAACTTAAGTTTTGATTAATTATAGGTCAACAACCTGTTTAACAAGTCGATACACATGATACATGTAGAGGCTGTAAGCTAAGAACCAAGAGTCTAGTGGACTGTCATCGAGATTGTTATAATATTTTTAATTACAGAGGTCTGTACTAGTATCGTGTATTTTTATAGTCCAGATTAGTCTTATCATACATGCCTTTTATCTTTGAAAGGTTTCAGGGTGGCAAAGTTTGAACTGAAAGTGCACCTTGACTGTGTGCTGTTATATTTTTGGCATGAGACAAAAAGGATTATTTTAGCTTTTGCCCGCGACTTCGTACACGCAATCCCGTTTTATCCCGTTCCGATTTTCAAGTTTTTTTTTTAAGTCATAAGAACCTTCTCCCTATAATAACAAATACAACAAAAAAAGAATTCACTAAAATCGCGGGTTACTCACGTGAATATACTGAGAAAAAGCTCTACTAGTTTCGAACCATAGAGGGGTTCTTCCTCATGAGCAGCGTGCGCGGTCGCGGCGACATCGCGCAACTCACTCTTATTATATATTTTTTTATTATATTATAAAAAAAAGTTATTATAAAAAAAGGTATTATATAAAAGAATTATAGAAATCTGTCCAGCCATTCACGCGTGATGATGTAACCAAGGGAAAAAGGGATTCATTTATATCCATATATGAATGCCAAAATGCTACAAGTCACAAATGATATTAATTGCCGCTTTATTAAAGAATCACCCTTAATTTTTAACACATATTTACCCATAGTAAACAATACTTAGCATCTCTATTATAATTAATACTACTGATCTCTAACTCCAACAGACAACTTCTAATTAGGTACTTATTTATTGGTAGAAGATTTAAATAAATTGATTAGTATAACACAATATTTCGATCATTAGCACCGTTTTACATTATGAGCGGCCAAACTTGGTTCTCCACAACTTCTACAAGTCACCTTTTCATAATCACACCTGCTAATATGCATACAAAGCATTTCATTATTATTATATCTCAAGCTTTAAAACCTGACATTTAGAGATATTTAAGAGAATTCTTGTATCACACCTGACAACGTCTAGTTTGAAACCTATAACGACTAATACTTAGGAAAAAAGTCAAGGATTTCTATGACGACATAAGATTAAGATACCTACGAAGGTATCTTAAAACATGATGGATGGTAGGACCGTTTGATTTCGTGGAATATAATCTTAGAATCCTACAGAAAAATCAGTGATATTTAGAAGTACAATATCTTCCTATTTGATATCTAATTTAAATATATGTTTTACACGTGAACTATTCGATAAAAGCTCTACTAATTTCAAGTCAAACCGGGGCTCATATTCATAAACAAAATGCGCGCCACGACGTAGTAGGTACTAGGTCGTTCTGACGATAACTACTACACAGAAAATCAATTAATTAAAGCCACAATAAATAAAAAATTATCATTACATTGCACTAAGTACATTGCACCTTTGCTTCAAGTAGGTACCTAGATATAAATACATACTTAACGCATTTATTTTAAGCACAACATTTATGATTTATATTATAATATGCAACATTATCATACATAGGTATTACTTACATACTATAGACTAGTCGATAACCTCTTACGTCACATTTGACACTCAGTTTCTGATACAGATCTTATTCCAAGTTCCTCATCTGAGTAATTTGAGCCTTTGTTCATTGTATTTCGATGTTATTTGGTTACGTAATTTTACAGTCAATTTCGTCAAATATTTCGGGAACATTAAGGACATTAATGATTACATTAATAGAGTATTTAGTAATGCATTTATAAGTTATCAAGAGTTAATGAATGGATGACTCAATGATTGCGGCATTGAATGCAACAGTTATAGAAGACTTACAGTCTGGTCATCAATGATATCAAAGTTTTGAATGGGTATGCGTATAGTCATTCATCTGTGACTATAAGTATTATAGGTAGATTTAGTTACTATATCACGTTGCTAAGCAAGATGTCTATCTCTATGCTAATTTGCAACCTATAATAGGTATGTATAAACGTAAAAATCTAAACAAGTTTGCCCCAAATTAGGCATATGAATAACAAATAGGCACCTGCCGTCCTGGGCAAATGCCATTTAAATGCTTGTCTAGGTAGTCAAATGAGTAAGTCAATATATTTATGGGGACGTGACAATGGGATACGTAAACGAGGAGAAGTGTTAATATACACATAGACTTTACCTATGCTGGAGAAGAATTGGGATGATGACAGGGTATGAAAATTAAAAATCGAATTAGTCCGTAAGTTAGGTAATAAAAAAATATTAGACACGTATTTTTTTATTTTGTCGTATAATAAAACAATACTTAGACAAAACGAATCAAAGTTTAGGAGTGGGGGCTAAAACGTAATTTCTACGTATAAAATGTACATAGAAGTGACGTCACGCGACATTTCAAATCAATATATCGTCGAAAGTATTCGTTTCTGTAAGAAAATAAAAAATACGTGTCTAATAATTTACAATAATCTACCAGACGGACATTAAGATAAAAATTAGGCATCTATCCTATTATGCAGTTGTTCCAAAATCTTGGTAGGCATTCAACACTCGTGAAGATAGAAACACCTGAGTATAATTTCTAAGTACGGTACACATGGAATGACAATATAAAGATTGGTTACCAATATTAAATATTCTTTTAACCTTCAATTAAAGAGCTCTCTACAGTGTAAGTGTACCTGTTGTTTAATTGTCAAGAAGACTTAAGTGTCGTGATGTACACTGGCTTCCCCTGGAGGAAGTATTAGTTTTCTGATAAACGTTCCAACTTAACACATGGAAAAACAACAGCTTAAGTTACATAGCATATTGCATTGATGTATTATGGGACGCTAAAGATTATTGATCAGTTGAAGCAGTGAATATCTATCGTGTCTAAGCACGTGACCGAGATATTCGATTTTTCGCTTTTTCGCTTTCGGAGTGGACCGGCATTACATCTGTCGAACAATTGTTCCGCATGCCTACCGACAAGGAGAAATACAAGAAGCTGACGGCCGACCTTCAACATTGAAGAGGCACTATAAGAAGAAGAAGAAGAAAGATTATTGCAACGTGTTGCACGATACGATACGATTCTCAACAAGAACCCCCGTACAACCATATCCGCTACGGCAGTGAACAAAATCCTCTCACGGAAGGATAGACCCATGGATCAATACAACTAATTCGTTACCAATACAATGAACTCCTAATTAAGAAACCCGATGGTAAATTTGGTGTTTTATTACGAAACAGTATTAGGGGTGGCCCGATATCCGGAACAAGTGTCAGGTTGCTAGCACGTGGAAGATACGTAACACCTGATTAAGCCGACAGGAGCTTAAGATTAGGTGCTAAGTTTGTCACTAGGTACTTGGAATAAGTGCCTATTTTTTTTAAAGGGGGGAAAATCATCGAATGACTGCACCCGCCTGGGTGAGGCGGGAGGGAGTGTCAGACTCTTACTGACTAAAACCCACCTCGTTCCTTCTCCTGCACGTCGAGCCGGAGCCCCGGTTACCCGTTAGGTTCTCCGCGACTCCGAATCGGCATCGGTCCTATTGGGCCCCATCTGTGGTGGTCTGATGGCTCTTTGAGGCGCGCGCGGAACGCGACGCGCCGTACGCTCGGGTCTGTTTCTGGTCGGACTGGGAGCCACCCATGCTCGCCGTCCGCAGGCCCGCGCTTACGGTGGCCGGAGATCGTCCCGCGATCCCCGACGCCCGGTGTGTCCTTCGCGATGGCTAGGTTGCGAGGAGACAGCGCTTCGCTGCCTCACGCGTCCCGCCTCCTCCTTAGCTAACATAACTGCTTCGCAAAAAGAGGACACGGCATCCCAGTCCCAGAATAAGTGCCTATACTATAGGGAAGCATAGTATGTAGCTGAGTCTCTCTAAGCGACGAAAAGTCTAAGGATTCTAGAACTTCGGTGGTAAGGATGAAATTAACAGCCCATGTTGGCATTTTACACCTTCATAGCAAAGATAATGAGTTCATCTTTTCACATTTTTCAAGTATTTTACCAGGAAATCCCACATATGTACGCGTTAAGTATAATAATATGTTCCAATCTTTAAGTAGACTGGCACATACTTGAAATACAAGAATCGCCGATCTTGAAAATAAATTGGACAGTTACCTATAAACTTCGTTGCGTATAACTTAATGATACGCTATTATAGAAAAGAGTATGGGGATTTGGGAATGGCGTTCATTATAAGATATACCTACATAGATTTACATGGGTTTAGAACAAATATATGTATAGTGTATCTGTATACCTATAGTAAAAAAAAACTGGTAAATACGTCAATAACGGCCATCAACCTTTGAAGTCTCGACATTGATTTCATGGTTACATTAAATAACTATTTTAATTGGAGCTCTATCATACATAATGAGGTTCGAATTACTGGATCTACTATTTTTTGTCTTTAAACTTAAATAAATCATTACTTTGAGGCTGGCTTAGATAACAATGCATCATATTCATACGTATTTACGTATGAATTCAATGTGGTAACATGATTTACTTGGACTCTCTTGGAAAAAGCTTCAATTAAGAACTGCAATAATAGTAGTACCTAAGCTTTTGCCGCTTAATTTTTAAAATAATCAAACCAAATCCCTACTTTCCTGCTTTACCGCTTTACTCTTGTATCCAAACATATAAAACAATAAAATATTTCTCCTGTAACCTTTATCGAGAACATATTCCGTGTTTCAAATAATTTGTAATAAAGTAATTCCTATGCAAGAGAAATCGAACAATAAAAGCTATAAGAAGGTGAAACATTTTAGTTCGCGATTTTTAATATAAGTATTATTGCTTCTAGATATGTTTTCGATATGTAATTTAAAATAAACGATAATGGATGAATTTAGATAATGAATATTGATTCTAAAATGAAATAAGTGCATAATTTTAATACATATAAATAGTTCAAACAAGGGTATCCATTCATTCTGCGTAGTTATTGTCACGTATAATATTATGAAATAGGTGAGTCGGACAGGTTCTACGAATATAATAAGTAGATGACGAACGAAAGCTCCGTATCTATGTGTTAATTATGTATCCAATTTATGTGTATATAAAAAATAATACTAAGACATAACTCGAGTGTGACCATGGTCGGGAAAAAAATCATCCAATTTTTTTATAGAGAACACTTGACTTGTATTTAGTCTGTGCCGAAATATAAAGGAATGTACAACAATAAATGAAAATATTATACAACAAAGCTAGCACGTAAAAATGATGATTTGCTTTTAACATGAAAAACAATGACTACTTACAAGATATAATTTACAATATAATACACCGGAAAATCTTATTCAAATAGAGTTATCTTGCAATAAATCTGGACTGACAACTGGATACGCAGAACACACTTTAAATTAAATTTTCAATGCCTATTTAATAAGCAGCCATTTTGTAAAAAGTGGCAGTATGGAATTTTACAAAAGACAAATACGAATTTTTAATTAATTTGGCTTTTAGTGACGGACATTGTTTGGTATTTATTACAGCATTAAACTCGTTTTTGTCATTAAAATGTACATATTGTTCTTTACTCTTGGCACTGCTCTTATCTATTTGTACCTACATATAGAGAATCAATTTTCGTATGCAAAAGGAAGTGACCTATTCAACTAAATTGAAGACGGTCAACAAAGACTACGATATAGATCTACGAAGTACTAGCTAGCGACTCGATCGTAGTTCTGAGAAATTCTTATAGTAACCATTTAACCAATTTTATAGTTACCATCGACTAAGGAACTATCTATGTGAATAAGTACCTACCTATTTTATAAGTACATGATTGATGACAACTAGAGAATACGGTATAGATGCCTAATTTTTATTTTTATGTCCGTCTGGTAGATTATTTTAAATTATTAGACACGTATTTTTTATTTTCTTACAGAAACGAATACTTTCGACGATATATTCATTTAAAATGTCGCGTGACGTCACTTCTATGTAAATATACGTACAAATGACGTTTTAGTCCCCACTCCTAAACTTTGATTCGTTTTATCTAAGTGTTGTTTTATTATACGACAAAATAAAAAAATACGTGTCTAATATTTTTTCATTACCCAACTTACAGACTAATTATATTTTTAATTTTCATACCCTGTCATCATCCCAATTGTGTTTTAAACTTGATTGATAAAGAGTAACCTATGGAGTTCCTTGCTCGTTCTTCTCTATAGGAGTCTACACCTTGGAATGAGCAAATAGCTGCTCTTTTAAATTTCTTTTCTTGTTGATGTTCAAAAGTGACTTTTTGGTCTGATTGAAATAAATGATTTTGACTTTGACTTGACTTTGACAGTCTATATTTTCTGTAGCCTTTGAGAGATCATGTTTACGGTTCAGTGTGTGAATATTTCCAACTTCTTGCATGCAATTTAGATTCTATGTTTTTGATAAGACATTTTCTGTAGTAACCATACCATGTTGCTATAGAAAATGTCTGTTCAGTTGTTTCGTTAAACTACCTGAGGCCTTAGTACGAGTTTATTTTACGTTTAAAGTAATCGAAACGAGTACGCGTTCGGCGCTCTGATTGGTTGGTTCATTGGCGCCGGCCAATCAGAGTGCCGAACGAGTACTCGTTTCGAATACTTTAAACGTAAATCAAACTCGTACTAAGGCCTCTGATTAGATAATATGTCTCTATCGGACTCTAAGCGACCATTAAAGTAGACTTAGGTATGTGCCCTATAGCCACACTCTTTATTTAAGAAAACAAGATGATTATGATACAGTTAAGGCAGATGAACTATAATAAGGGTCAACATTATTTTTATCTACACAAGTAAGTACCACAACGCATCTTCGAGCCCTCCTCTACCAGCTGTTGCGACATAACCACAATTTAACTATTTCGTGGTCAGTGAAGGGCCTCCAAACCTTTATAATTAATGAATTCTTTTAATAACCTGTCGCAACCTTAACGACCTAAATTATAAACTCATTCACATCAAAAATACATTTTCTTTAATAAAAACTAGGAATTAGAACGCCTCCTTAAATTGGGTTACTTTTAAAATTTAAATTAGAATTCTATATTCGAATCAGAGTCGATGCAGTCGGAACAAGTTTTTAAACCAACTTTTTTAAGTTCGTCTAGCCCACGGAATCGACGATACAGCCTTGGTAACATAAGTATTTTTACTATCGAGCTGTTGATTCCGGTTTATTTTTCTTTTCGATTTAATATTAATATTTAATTATGTCGTTTGATGAACACACGGCATGGAATTTATAGTGGCCATATTCTTCGTACTAATAAAAGTAGCTAATTATGCGTTTTATGAATTGGTAATAATCAAAATTTAGTGCTTATTCCATATTAAAACATGTTAGTTATTCGAAATAATTAATTTGGGAACATCGTTATAATTTTTATTCTTGTTCAGTAAATGTAATAAAGAAAAAGGCGCAAGCGCGGCACTGAAAGCTTTTACGTGCCGGAATTTAAATAAATGAAGGTTGATTGATTGAAGAATTGGATAATGTTAAAAGAATCATAGCTATGGAGAATTAACTAGGTACTGATATTAACTCTATTTCTTGTACGAGTTAACTTGTCATGTCTAATTAATAATTTACAAAACAAAACCACACTTGACAGAAACTCCACAATAAGTACCTCTATTTAATTTCATAATTCATTCATCTGCCAGTTTAAAACACAGAAGGCGACCCAATAATAAATTAGACAAGACCTTTTTAAAGTTATTTGAGTCAGTCCTACAACGAAAAATAGACTTTCTTAATAGAAATAAGTACTTCTTAATACTAGATACAATTTAGTACTTACAGTAGGCGAGTTACTATAAGCAACACGCTGGTTATCCACAGACGATGTAATCAGAGGCTCATGTTCCTCGTTGCCGGCTGTCATTTTAATTTTATTCCTTTACCACAAATTGTACAATTAAAAAGTTGAATTAAAAAATCACTGTCATATTTCCACAGATCACACAGAGATTGTTACGTCACAGAATGGCGGGAAAATGAAGAGACGCGCGCTCGGGCGAGTTTCGTAGCGGTGTGACTGCGGCACTACGGACGAACTAACTAAAGCGGTCTATTGACTAATCAGCCTAGCGGACATTAAACTTAATGTTTTGTCAGTCTATCTCCGCTGTGCATGCCTCAATTTACGAATTACACGTGGAATCTTATTTTCTTAATGATAATTAGTTATGTTACCAGAATGACTTTCTTTGTTACGGTAGGTAAGTAAATAAAAATAGTGTCTTATGATAAGTAATTAACAGATACTCGAGTACACAGTTGATTGAGAATTCTTTCTCTCGTATTATGTATATATGGAGAGATCTACGAATCTAAGTAAATAAATTAAAAAATAGGAAAAACAGAGCCAATTAATATTACCAATGGGTTTCAGTAGGTACTTTCAATGAAGTGCAGCACACGTTATAAATTAAATAAGTCCTTAATGCAATTAATTACATTAAAATTACAACAATACACCAAACTGAAACAACTAACATAAAGAGAATAATAAGTTTACGGGAAAACTAACTTCTCGTGTTTGACGTTATGCTTCATTTGTTTTTTTATTTCTCTTTACTCTCTTGTTGATACAGCCTGGAGAAACAGACCAGTACTAAATTAAAAGGTAAAGGTTAATATAAAATTAATAATTAAGGAATTAATGTAATAATTTTAAATACAAAATTAATTAAATATTTTTTTAAACATACATATTTAGGTACATAATGAAATTGGTATCAAATAGCATAATTTGTGTTTTATAAAAAAAATCTCAACTCAAAAGAATTCTTACCACAAAATAAATAAAAGCCAAACAAACAAGTTCTATTTTTGAAAAAAAATGTGCACATTATTTATTTTAGTCACTGACCTTTTCTAAGGGTGTCCTTTTAAACCCGAACCTCGCAGATATATCGATATGAAACATTTCGAATACATTATTTTATGACACTGCGAATGCTACGCTCACGTAGCTGCCTAATCTACGTAGATATTCTTTGACAATGCCACATACATAATTAGTTTTAATGTTTAATACAAATCCTCTCATCCCCTCTTAAAACGCTGCAGCGTTTTATAATGCAATTTAATAATTTTAAATATAAATGAGTTTTAAATTATTAATCTTGCTTTTTTAAGGGGGGCAAATCATCGAATGGCTTCTCCCGCCTGGGTGAGGCGGGAGGGAGTGTCAGACTCTTACTGACGAAAAACCACCCCGTTCCTTCTCCTGCCCTTCGAGCCGGAGCCCCGGTAACCCACGTTCACCCAGGTTCTCCACGGTTTCGTATCAGCGTCAGCCCTATTGGGTCCCATCCGTGGTGGTCTGATGGCTCTTTGAGGCGCGTGCGGAACGCGACACACCGTACGCTCGGCTCTGGTTCTGGTCGGGTGGCAGGTGTCTGGAGTGGTCGCTGATCACGTACCTGAGGGCACGACGGCGCTCAGCCCACGCAGGGCATTCCCCTACTGTGTACTCCACCGTGTCCTCAGGACGATCCTCGCAGTGATGACACCCGGGCGTTTCCTCCCAAATTAATCTTGCTTTAGCCCTTTTTTATTTGACTTATCGCCTTAGTAACACGTGGGTGCAGCGGCGTCATTTATTCATTTTTAAATTAATCGTATGATATGTTTCAATTCCAAATAATCTTGTCTTTGAGCTGAATCCACAATTCCTCGATTGTGTACTGTTATTGGGTTATTGGCCCATTATATTATTCGAAGGTTAATAATACCGATTTTGTACTGTTCGTTATTCAAAATTCCAAGATTTGAATTCCAGTAATTCTATCTCATATCCATCCAGCAATCGTTTTAAAAGTAGTGAAACGCTTTCCCATCTTTAATTTAGGAAAAATGTACAATGTGGTTAATTATTTGTAAATTATTCACAAAAACCCTCTAACCATAATAGTAATACTTATGTATTTTAGGGCGTTGCCCTTTACGTAAATACCTTCCTGTTTGTGCTGTGTCTATTGTTGAGAGCTTGGAGGCGTAACAGCCTAATCCATCGATTCGGTTCATCTATCTAGCAAAATATATTTATAAATTATATTAATTAGGGCCGATTTTCCAATCAACAGTTAATTCTTAACTATAGAATAAAATTGTCAGTTGACAGATTTTATAAAATATGTTAATAAAATCACGCCTTTTATCCCCGAAGGAGTATTCACAGTGCTTTTGGAATATATTTTGTGATAAACAAACTATTTCCGTAAAAAATTTCTTGTCAATTTCTATGATTTTTGTATTTCCAAAAGTGCTTAAACTAAAACTGTTTCATTTCACGGCCTGAACGATACCGCTTTTAAGTTCCTTCAATAACATCTTGTATATATGTACAAACGTCCATAGAAGCCAGAGAACCTAACGGGTTACCGGGGCTCCGGCTCGACGTGCAGGAGAAGGAACGGGGTGGTTTTTAGTCATTAAGAGTCTGACACTCCCTCCCACCTCACCCGGGCGGGAGCAGTCATTCGATGAATTTTACCCGTTAAAAAAAAAGTAGCCAACTTACGAGTGAAGTTAAAGATATAGGTACGTTTGGACTCTGGTAGGATAGCTCATGCGCGAAATGTACCTTCACAAATAAATAGGACGTCGCTGATCATCTTCAGTAAAAAGTACGGCCAGGTTGAAGAGGACTTCATTGTCCTCACCATAATCTTGTACAAGGAGCACTGGAACCTTCTACTGCAGCAGATACCATCGCTGCCTCCAAGTTATGGGCTTGACTCCTGGCAAGAAAGGTAAGGAAATATAAGTGGGTACATGTTTACAGGAACCAATCGTTCAGGGTCAAAATGTCATCAATCCTGGTTGCCATGTGAAGTCACAACGGTTGACCAGATAATATAAATGGCTTAACTTTATAAAAGTTTGTATTAAGCAGTGGACATCTTACGATGGACATGACGATTGTGATTAATGATAGCAGTTTGGCTCTTTCCTGTATTATCTACGGCGGCTGTGTGGAAGAACCACATGGATTTCACATGAGAAACGCAAGGAAGGTTGATACTGTTTTTTTTTAAGGGGGGAAATCATCGAATGACTCCTCCCGCCTAAGTGAGGCGGGAGGGAGTGACAGACTCTTATTGATTAAAAACCACCCCGTTCCTTCTTCTGCACGTCGAGCCGGAGCCCCGGTAACCCGTTAGGTTCTCCGCGACGCTATTATTAGGTTAGGTTAGACATTTACTTAGCTCTGCAATGAAGCCTATTGTACTTAACCATTGGTCGGCTCAGCAGCCAATCAAAGTGTCCTGTAGGTACCTACTGAATGAACTGTTATGTGGGATCTTGGAGACAAAAACTATTATTTCGATTATTGGAATTTTAATAAAAAAAATATAAAATACAGAGTTAGAAATAGAAAGTGTCCACATCAAAAACGCTTAAACCGAACTAATTCATACATCGCCGGAAATGCTTACGAGGATTTTCAATTGACGTCAATGCATAAGTAAAACGAAGTAAACAACTGAAGCTGGCTCAGCGGTTTACTTAGCCTTGGTATAGCAACGTGATGCTGATATAACAGCCCCCCCGATAAGACTGATCATCACAGATGAAGTGATGAGAAAGATACAAAACTAAGATTTTGATATGGACATTACAATAAAAAATCAAGAAACTAATAGGTATGGAAATTAAAACTAAACAGTTTACATAACTTATATTTAATACTAAATTAATAAAATAATATAAACTTTATACCTGTGCTCTCCAAAAGTGAGGCAGATATAGAATTTAAACTAATAATAAGTAAACAGTATATATATATTTCATATAAAAAAAATAAACATTAGCAACACACAACAAAAAAAAAAAAATAGTAGTAGTTAGTAGTAGTTATTACTACTTCATAATGTTTCGTTTAATCGGAACTGGTAAAGACTTGGCTGAGACATTATCAATTTCAACTTCTGAAGAGTCTGAATTATAAGCAACATTCACAACATGATTGTTTGAGCCTTTTGACTTACTGTAATTTCTATTGTATATTTTGATACAACAACCTGGACTTCTAGAACATAGATATTTTCTAATTTTAAACAAAAAGTATATTACACAAAAAAATAAAATAATATAGATCAATGAAAGATAATGCATACTGTACATTTCTAAATGAGAAGGCTCTCCAATATCGTCTAGTTGTTTTTCGAAATCGGTTAAATGTGTACTTGCTTTTAACAAGGACTCAAAACTATTAAATTCGTTTAATTTAGTAAGGGGGACAACATGTAAAGTTTTATTGGACTTTAAACTATTACAACAATCATCAGTTAATATGTTAAAATCAGATACAACAGTTGTAAAGTTAGATGTAATACTATCAGTTGGAACAAATGTTAAAGTTTTATAAAATGCTTTACAAGATTTGGGAAGATGTAAAATTCCTGTACCTGACAAGACTTCAACGTGATCTTTCATGTCGCCATCACACATTATATGGCCTTTACTCGGTTCTGATTGAACAAAAATCCAACGGTTATTAGAAATTTTATGAAACAATTCGATAGACCCGCGTAGAATTCTTGTTTGGCAGGAATTTGGTAATTTGTCGATGACATCTGTTAACAAAATCGTTTCACAGGTAGGATTTGCAATAGTTGAATAAACGTTTGTTAAAACACACACGTAACACTGATTTTTTATCACTTTGCACTCACTAACACTTTCAAATTGTGAGTAAAATAGACGGTCTGCTGTTATTGCCAGATATTGTTTACTTGGAGCAATTAAGACATAAGTATCAGGAGTTTTATTATCTAGGGAAATAGGTAAAGGTATATTTTGAAACAGATTGTAAATTTGTGAAAGAACTAGCGGTATCTTTAAGATAAGAATTAACTTGTTATCATGATA